CCTGTTTTCAATACAAATTGGGAGGATGTTTGATGGGGAAATAGGTCTATGGAAGCAGGCATTGAAAGAAAAATAAATCCTTGTTTTATGCACAGAGGTGTGCCTCAGATTCCAAATGGTGGAAACATGTGGTTTAATTGCCTAAAGACGCTTAGAATAAATCTGATTTGGCAAGTTAAAGATGGCGGAAAGATCTACACAACAAACCCACGGATTCCCACACTAAATGGAGGCATCCCACACTTCAAGGAAGAAGTTAACCCAGATATGGTTCCTAAGACTGTTAATCAACTATTAACAGCCTCGGGGAATTGGGACATCCTAAGACTACAAGAGTAGGAGTGCATACATATCTCACATGTCGCAAACAATTATCTCCTCTCATTTAAATAAGCACCTTCTTTTTATGGAAGGCTTTGAGACATGGTTCCTATGATGTAAAATCAGGGTATAAATTCTTCACCACTCAACAGTCATCCACTGCAAATCAATACTGACGAGAGATAAACTTTATTTTCTAAATGATCAAGACAAAAAAAAAATGCGGTATTTGTGAATTAGCACTAGCAGTTGAGACATGGGAACACTTGTTCTTCTCATACCATTGTGCCCGGGCTGTGTGGATAGCTGCTCAGTTGAGACATGTGAACCCAGAACTGATTTCAGTTTATAGAGGAATGGAAATCAAGTAAACTGTCCCAATTTTCGAAAAGAGAACAGGATATTACGATGGAAAATTTTTTTATTTTGTTCAGACTGATATGGGACATGAGGAATGAGAGGGCTAACCTCTGTTATATAGCCTTATTACCAAAAAATTAAAAAACATAAAGCTTCATGCGAATGACACGCTAGCATAGGTGAGGGGTAAAAGAGTAATTATAATCAATATTCTTTTAATTAAAAATGCAAACAAGGGACTGGGTGAGAGATAACGTGTCACTTGTATAGAAAGCCCCCAAACAGCCCAAGTTGTTTTTTTTTTCAAATAGCCGAAGTTTCTCCATACTTGGGAAAATCATGTCATAATGGCATCATGCTTATGTCAATAGAAAATAAAATTTTCAAATTTGGCTCCAGATAGAACATAATATTTTCTAGTTTTCAAAAATTGAAGGAATTGTAGGTTCTAGAACCATGGATTGGTGGTTCTAAATTAAATCACAAACCACTTCAAAACAAGACTAGTGATGATTCCAAAATCAATTGAAAAAACAAACACACCACTTTATGATGTTTTGACTTAGCAATTATACAATCAGCCCTTTAATATATCATCATTATAAAATTAATATGCAGAATATTGGGATTATTTGAGTCATTATGTAATTAATTACTGTTAATGTCATATCATTTTTTTTTTTTTTAATTTTGACTAGAGGCTAATTTCAAGAGCCCAAATCTACTGAAAGCAAAAAACCATGTACACACCATGAGAGAACGGTATAGTTGTACATCAAAAATTAATCTCTCTTCTATTTGTATATTAAAATCATGGAGAGATTTTCAATATACAACTGGATGCTGTGTATGCACGATTTTTACTTTCCTATTTGAAATTTGGACTTGCTCCTCACAGAGCGTATCTCACTCCAATCTCATAGCACACTGGAGAGATGTTCCTAATAAATGGCTGCAACGACGTGCTGCAGTGAAGTTTGGCGTGAAGCGTGCTATGTGAGAGCATATCCGAATTCTTTTAATTTTAATTTCAAAACCTTAAAATGGGATATGGGAATTTATAATTGTAAAAAAAAAAAAAATCAAGTAGGATATTTACAATTTATGGAATGTGTCAATGGTTGGCATAGCCACCACAGATAACGTTATGACTTGTGACACAGGTAGCATGTCATCTGTCCGAGTCACTTTTTCCCCCTTTAGTGCCCAATTATCTATTGTTATTCCCAGGTGAAGCAAATGAAGAATGCAGATTCTTTTCCACATCCACATGGGTATCAACTCTCACTCAGAACGTATTGTCCACCTCAACAAGGGTTTAAGGGGCCAGAAAGAGAAAGAACATAAAGGCTAAAGCTAATGCAATAACAAAGCCACGTTTCCTCTAGAAAATGGGGTCGGTGGAGTAGAAGACTATGATCCATTTTGAATCTTGCCAATCGCAGGATTGAAATATTCCGATCCAAGTGCAATTCAACATGGATATGACATAGACCCTTCTTCATTGTAGATTTCCATCATCATCACTCCATACAAAGCAATTTCTTTGGATTGATCAGTTCGAACAGAAGGAAAAGGAAAGCCATCTTTTAGCTCCACAATGCAACCATTGGTCCATTCTTAGATAAATTGCCTTTAACCACCTTCTATACAAGTGTAGGACCACCCAAAATCCAAACCAAGCAAATGCTAATTAAAAAGAAAAAATTAAGGCCAATAAAATTACTCTCCAGTCTTTTGAAACGGATCCTCAAAAGTCAAATCAGTGTTGTGCCCCACCAGTTGGATTCTTTTTTCACGTGATATCTAGCTACGTGGACTTGATTCGGCCATATGATAGGAGACCAGTTGGAAATAGGGAGAAGTACCAATCAGCCTAGATCAGAATTTATTAGGCCCAAAGTATAAGGGAAATGCATCCTGACTGTGAATTGATGCTAAATTCATGGGCAGAATGTGATTTATAGGGGGAGAGAGCTAGTTGTAGGGGGTTAGAATTCAGAATTCTGCATCGGTGTTTTCGTACTTTTCCCTTGGAAATATCTGTGCCCATCTAGACAGCAGAACCGTGACTAGGACGCTGACTACGTACCCACCAGGGACATGAATGTTTGTGCATGCATAAAGTAGGTCAGTTTTAAGACTAAGGGCCTGGGCTTTGGAATACGGGGCCCATAATCTGCCATTTGTCCCATGTCTGGAGTATTGGAAGTTAGAACACGGCCACCGTCAAGATTCAGTCAGATGGAGTAATTCGATTATCAGTTAACACTAAAAATTGGCTTGTGCGAAGGTCTCTTACACTTGAGATGACAGTAGAGAGTAGAGAGAAGCTTTTCTTGAAGCGAGGCAATAGATCTTATACAAATAAAACCAAATCAGATGATTAGTCATCTAATGAAACTGATGCGAGGTATATTACGGTTTCGTTTGAAGCATGGTTTTTAAAATCGATCCAGAGACCGAATCGATCAGAGGTCCAGTTACTGGGTCAAACAATTCAATCATTTGAACCAAATGATCGACCTATTCTGATAAAAAATAAAAAATAAAAAAAAAACATTCAAAATCGTTCAAACATTAATCACCCGAGTCAGAGATTTGCTGACCAAAATCAACTGCTTTTAGAGAAAATTGGGTTTTGGAGAAAACTAGAACCAATCAACTGGCCGGTTTCCGGTTTTTCACTTCGACCATCCGATCCGGTTTTGAAAACCATGATTTGAAGTGAAACGACCTACGAACAGTGAACAATAATCGGAAATAGCAGGCTAGAATGAAGGAATTGCGATAAGATAAGAGAAATCTGGATCATAATAGGATTTATAGATACACCATACGTACATGCAGATATGAATGATGGTTAATGCCAAAAAATAATCGGAATTATTGCAGAAATGTTAGTTTTGCATGCAATTAAATAAGCCTGCCGTAGTTCCTCGGAAGACGGTTTTGATTTTCACAGTAGGGTTGTCAACCAACCAATCTGAGCCAAGTTTGGCCGAGATTGAATCAGCCTCCTGAACCAATTAATAGCTGGGTTGGGCTCATCTTGGACATGTGCTGACTGCGCAGGATAGACTCACTGAGTAGTGAGCAGTATAGAGTATACTATACGACACGCTCGTGCTCGACTTGCTTAATTAATTGCGCGCAGACCCCAACCCAAATAGTTGGACTGTTGGATTATAACCTTGGATGAGTTGAGCTGAGCTACGTTTGGGCTTGTTTAATTCGAAAATTTTCTCTTTTTTTTTTATGTTAAGATGATCCAAACCCAACAATAGTAGATTGTAAGATGGCAAAAGCGTAGGTACAGGGACAGAGAAAAAACTGTAAGCTGTAACCAGGGCCCATGACTAGCGATTTGAACTTGATTGAGTTGATTCAGATGATTAAAACCCACCACCGTTAAATGGGTCCTCCTATGATGGAGATTAGTTGGAGAGTTGGACGAAAACCCAGACTACAACTTGATAGCACCTATACATTTTCACTATATCACACTGACAGTTGGAAAAATAAAATGTTCCAACAATGTAACAACAGCTGGTGGGGACATGATGGGGGCCCAGGTTGTAACTATGCATCCTCTGTCCCTATAATCAACCATGCCCATCCATACGCTTATGACAATATCAGGAGCTGCCACCATTCAAACCAAACTAAAGCTGTATCTGGCACCTCCTTTTTACAATTAAAAACTATGTTCACATTTTAATTATAAAAAGAAGATAAAGTTATTAAAATAAGGAATGCCAAATACAACCTTAAGTCCACTGATCCCAGCCCAAATATATGCTCACGAACGATACAATATGAACTAGCACGGAACACCTACCAATTACGTATGAAACAGTAAATGATATTCAGTGGGTGTGTGGGTACAGAGTAGAGACTACAGAGACGTGGGGCATGGACGCATGGTTTAGATCAAGCTTGGTCTCTTGGACTTGGACAGACTGTAAGTCTGTAACTAAAATGGCGGTTTCTGATGATCTTGGCACATGAAGAATTGGAGAGAGTCATAGACACGAAATCTGAAATGGCAAGTCTACCCCTTGTAATTATCTTTGAAAATTCAATGCAATATAATATAAATATAGTGTGGACTGTGGACCACCACCAGCATCTTGATTCGGGACCATTCGGGCATGGATTGGACCAAATTGAAATTGTCATGTTTACCACGTGGGCGGTTTGGGTAGGGCCCACGGATCATGCATGAGTGAGTGAGTGACTTCAGTTCCGTTTCCATAATTCTACTAATTAAATGAAAAAAGTGCCAAAAAGGTTTACCCTTGCCTTGAGAATTGAGATATTTTCATGGTGATAAAGCACAAAAGTGTTTGATAATAATAAAGTGGGTACGACATCAAAAAGATCTACACAATTGGTGAGATATTTTCCAGATATTTCTGGTTCTGGCTCTCGTCATCTGAGTATCTTGTCGGCCGGTAGTGTTCTCTTCACGAAACGACCCTGCACCGAAATTATAAAGTCAATTTAACCTATAAAATGATGAAGATTAAATAAAAATGAAGAACTCCAATTGGAGGGTTCCCCACAAATGACGCGTCAGCATCTTTTTTCCACTTCGGATTGGAATCCAGAGACACCATTAACTGTATACCTGTATAGCTAGATCGCTAGCTAGCTTCTCCCAGAGAAACAAATCTGAAATTGGTTATAGAAGATGGTCTCACATGGTGCACCCCTCATTGAAATGTGAATTGTGAAATTAATGGTTCGACTCCATTCCACTCTGAACCAAAATACTTAAGAGAAAGAAAGAAAGAAAAAAGGACAAATTAACCTTGAGTCGGGGTCTCTTCTCTGCATTGAGTTTGCGCACTTGATATCTTATCTTCTTAGAGAAGAGCCTGTTCTGCCGCTTCTCCTTGTATCTAAGAACCCTGGCTTCTCTTCTTAATCTCTCTTCTTCCATTACAGGCACCTCTCCTATCTGTAATAAATAAGATGTATTGTTAATGGTCAAACAATAAAAGAAGTAGTACTAGTAACTCATTTAAGTCTGTGATGTCTAAAAGACAGACATCAGTTTTGGAAGTCAGTCCATTTTACTGTATAATTTTCTTGAAAATGAAATCAAAATAGAAGCATGAAAAATTTTCCTTTAGTTTTTGAATATGTATACGTACGAAGTTGTGGTTAACCATGGAAAGAGAAGTATCGTCGGCCCAAAGCGAACCCCTGTCTGACCATGCATCCAGAACATTCTGATAATTAAGATTCAGGTTCAAAGACATGAGTTTCTCCTCATCCTCCTCCCAAAGAACGACTGTTTCTCTTTTTATAACATTAGCGTAATGGCTTTGATCTTCGGAGAGTTCCGTAGAGTTGTTCGTCGTCCAGTGGCCTATCTCAACGTTGTCATCTTCAACTTCATCGTCATCACCTTCTTTGAGCTGTCCACGATCAGGGAATTCCGCCCAGTCCATGAAATCCCACTTAAAGTTATCATACAAATTCTGCCCTGCAAACTTCTCGTCGTCGTCCTCGGCATCTAAGATGTCTTCCAATTCGCCCATGATATTGTATCCTTCCCTGGTAAACGAGTGAACGGCTTTGCTTTCTGATGATTCTTCGGTAGCCGCAGCAGTGTCAGGCACTTGTTGTTCCTCCTGTTTTGGACTCCTCAAGAAAGAATTGTATCTTCCCATCTCTCTCTCTCTCTGTTACTTTGTGTCTGTGTATGTGCGAGTATGGGGTGTTCGTGTCTCTGTAGAGAAAATAGATGATATGATAGAGTTTGGTTAATCAATGGATGCGCCGTGGGAACTGGGAAAGTGAATGAGGTAAAAAACTTGCAAAAATATCGCGGCTTTTGGTAGAAAGAAGCATTTATCCAAGCCGGCACCTTATCCTTCACCTATTGGCTTCTTTCATAACCTACTTTGTGCTGATTGGCTAAAATTGTCGAGTCTGGTCTGGGTGCTGGTGGGAAATGGTGGGCCGTACTTGTTATTCAAATCGGGTTGTCACTTTTGAGACGAGAAGCGCCAAACAATCCATAAAGGCGGAGAGCGCGGAATTGAGATTTTCTGCCAACAAATACGTTCCGACCCTCTACCAACATCATCTCACACCACACATCTTACAATGAGACTGGACCCGCCATATATGAGATGTGCGGTGTAAGCTGACGTTGGTAGAGGGTTGGAACGTGTTTTATTACGAGGTAATCCGGACTCGCCAAAATGTGAATGACGTGTGTGGTGAAACCACCATTGAAATTACATAGACTTCAGCAGCGAGTTCGGCTTCTGAGTTCTGAGGAGATATTCCACATTCGAACACCTTTTACAGCCTCGTATTGAGAATATCTTAGTACTTATGTACTTTATTTTATGGGAAGATTTTCTCAAAGCTATGCAAAATAAGAGATTATTTGAACGGTGTGAACATGAACTTGCACTGACTGAAGCCGGTGAAGGGCAGTATTCCGAAAAATCTAATCCGATCCGATTATTCAACATGAAAATCCGAAAAGATTTCAATCGAATTTGAATCATATGGGATTTGGATCGGATTCGGACTTAATTTCATTTTGCTTTAGTCTTGAAAATAAAGAATAAATGTTTTATTTTTAACTTATTTATAATAAATAAATAAATAAATATATGAAATATTTAATTTATTATACATAATTTTTTGTATAATATAACATATGAAATTATTTATTTTTATATTTATATATAATTATATTAACTCCTTATTAAAATCAATAAATATTATAAAATGATAAGAGTTGATTTTTAACTAGATCAGATGGACTTAAAATCACATCCGATCCGTTTAACTAACTGGATATAAATTGTAAAATTTGATTTGGATGTAAACACATTATCCAAATACAAGATAATTGGGTTGGATGCGGAACTTTTGAAGTATGTTGGCAGCCCTAACTGAGGTGAGGAGAAGATACTCAATAAAACACAGATATGATCTCTGCTACCTTTTTTAAACCCAAAATTAACTCGAGGTGGAGGGATGGATACCTGAAAATTATAAGGGACCATGCATCTATATATATATATGAAAGGCATGGAAAGAGTTTTGACCAATCAAAACTCGTTATCACATTTATGATTCCAGTTTGTTGGTCAGTTGTTTTTTAGATATCAGTGAATGTGTCATCTTCTTCCTCTTCCAATTTTGCTCCAAAATCCCTATTTCCGTTTTTATAAATTTTGAATTTTTTATATTTTAAAGCCATGAAATTGAGCGCTTGGACCAATCAGATCTCAACACTTTCTCACTCAATAAACAAATTTAAAGTGGAGCATAAATCGGACTGGAGTATAAATCGGAATGCTCTCTAGGTTTGCCCGTCCAATCCCCAAAACCACTATTTAATCGAGACCCAGAAAGTACTATTAGTTCCTGGTTTTCATGGCCCGACCGTCTGGTCCGGGCCAAGTCTTAAAACATTGATTTCAGATTCGCCCAAACAAAGAGAAAAATTACAAAGAAGTACAAAGTGTTTAGCAACAGGAAATGATGAAACAAATAGAGGACCATCGAAAAGAACATGATTTATAAATAGAGGACCGAGGTTAGTTTGAATATGTGGCCTTTTTACAAAAACTTAGGCCACCAAGTATTAAATTGAGCACGCTCTTCTTCACCCTATTGCTTACGCCTCAATTACCATCCCATACAAAAACAATAAGAGCAGTTAGATTTTGATTAATTATTACAGGTGAAATATTTAGGCTCAATTTGGAAGGAGTATAAATACAAATATGTACAGTATAAATATATACAAAATATATAATTTTACACTCTATATATTTGTACTTGTATTCCTTCCAAACTGAGCCTTAAAAAAATTAAAAGTTTTGTAACTTGCAAACAAGATATCAAAGAAACTCTTTTGTCTTTGGGCTCTTCTGTGAGACTGATAGTGAGAGTGAAGTAGTGGAGGCAGGAAGGAGCTTTGGTGACTTTACGATTTCAAGCAAGGATAATGAGCGAGATGGCAATGGATGGAGCCACTTCAAAAGAAAAAAGTAGCAAATATTTCTTCTTAAAACTACAGTTGATTTGGCATAGTATTACCTCAGTGGCGAGCTAGAAAATTCAGCTTGAAGGGCCAATTTATCAGCTCTGAATTGCCTCTGACCGCATTAAATAGCTGGACGATCTTTTACTGTTTCAGATCTGAAAGTGACATTAAGATCCACTTTTAGGCATGATCCCAAACTATTTCTGAAAAGCAAGTTTGTTTTTCAGAGATAAGAGGCAGATTCAGCATTAACAAATGCCGCCTAAGTTTATAAGTGGAACTAGAGTCTAAGTGGTGCTTGATCCAATGAAAACAAAAACAATTGCCATATCAGAAAAATCACCATAGTGTATACAACTAAATAACAGTTCATAACGTAATTTGAAATTTAAAGCGCCCAAACACATGATAATGCATGGAAATGGCATATACAATACGAACAGATGCACTTTAATTACGCCCAGTTTGGCGAGACACGAGATGAAATTACTTCATTACAATCGTGAAACTTCCTCTACATGTGCACATGGGATTTCTTACTCAATTTTCCTACTATTCATTCTCTATCTGCTGTGAATTGTAGTCACACATCTTTATTATGAATTGAAAAATATATAATTGCAATTTACAACAAAAGTGAGTAGGAAATCTGGGTTGGGTTCCTGCATGTGGGGGAAGCACAACACAATTTGTCTTAACCGGCCGTAATGAACCCAATTTCTTTGATCACAATATGGGCTGAAAATGAAATTAATACCATACCGAATTGAATTTATACAATTCCACATCTCCCGTGATGCGGGCCTTTAAGAAGAATTCAAATTGAGGATGGCATGATTGTTGATAGATCAAGCACGGTTTTGATGTACATTATAAACAACAAAATATCAAATAATTATGGCCTTTAGAACTTTCTATGTTACATTAATTTATTGTTTTGTAAGGCAAAAACCAAACAACTTTTTTATTTTTCAGATACATATAGCAGCCTCCATGCCCCATCAACACAAGAGTACTTTTACTTTAAGTGTCAATGAAAACCACTTATTCAAGAAGGAATTAAGCGTAGAAAGAACATGTGAACTCTTTGGTCCTATATGATGGAGAAGGAATTCCAATGGATTTGTGAACCGGCCAGTCACCTGTAGGCTAGCAGGTGCAAGCCTGTGCTTATACCAAGCAACAAATAAGAATTGATTTGGATGAATTCAGTTTAAGTCAGTGCAAGCCTGTGCTTGATATTCCTAATGCAAAGCTGTAAAAAATATTCGAATGGCCATTGCACTTACCAAAGCCGAATTCAAATCCAATCCAAACTGAGTGTTTCATATTTATTTTCAATATATTTTAATTTCTTCTACGTAAGTATAGCAGCAACCTGACCCGGTAGTTGAAAATTGAAATGAAATGACTTCATTTCAGCAGCATATTGTGGGTTCAAATAAAATGGTTCCATTTCCCGTGACACAGCCACACAGAACCTATATAAAGACTTCAAATTGATGGTTACGCGATCTTTGATTGATCGATCAAACACGGTTTTATCTCCATTTTGAATAACAAAATCTCAAATTTTGGTGTTTAGAACTTATGTTATGTCTATACCACTTTATTGTTTTATACGGCAAAAAAGACAATTTTTTTTTATTAACGCAAGATTTTTTAACACTATTACCAGAAAAAGAAATTCTCTTAACAGAAGGCTCATTGAAAACCGTCCAAACTTAGTATGTAGACAATGTTTTCATCCACATATATCATCATTGCATGTAACTAAATCTTGGATATCCCTTGTCAATCAAAGTCACTTTTTATTTATTTATTTTTGTTTCATAATAGTAAGTAATTAAGGAAAAGCCCACTTCAATAAATAATTAAGGCTATGTTTGGTTTGAAGGAAAGGTATGGAAAGGAGGGGAAAGGTAGGGAAACGGCTCGTAAAGATTTCCCTACCTTTCCCTTCCTTTCCCTATTTTTTCCAAAAACCAAATACAGCCTAAGCAAAGAAGGAACAGATATAATGGACTATTGGCCCTACCCTTTGTGAACTGGCTCACCTTCTATAATGGACTATTATAGATTGTAATCATGAATTTAGGAACAGATATAGGAGCTAACTATAGGTTGGATTCAACTCTCATAATGCCATGTTTGGGAGTGCTTCTTTGGGTTATTAAGAACTTATTGGCACTTGGGAAATAAGCCTGAAATAAGTGCTCATTTTAATAATAAGAGCTTATTTTTTCTTCCAAAATTTTCCCTAGTTGAATTTTATAAAAATACTTTTGCGAAACCACTTTTATAAAAGTACTTTTATGAAAATGTTTTTACAATTCTATCTTTATGAAAGTACTTTTACAAAAGCATTTACGAAAGTACTTTTATGGAAGCACTTTTACGAAAGTACTTTTATGGAAGCACTTTTATGAAAGTATTTTTACAAAAGTACTTTTATGAAAACACTTATATGGAAGCACTTTTATGAAAGTATATCTACGAAAGCACTTTTACGAAAAGTACTTTTGTAAGGGTACTTTCTTAAAAGTGCTATCATAAAAGTACTTTTATGAAAGCACTTTTACTTTCAAAGGGTATATTTTGAGAATTTGAAAGAAAATGAATGACAAAATAGTCACAAATACTTATTTAAGTGCTTATTAGAGAAAAAGACTACCAAACACCCAATACAAAATAAGTGTTTATTTTTTAAAATAAACACTTGAAAAAATTGGGTGCCAAAGACAAATAAGTGCTTATTCGAATAAGCACTTATATTTAACTTAAGCACTCTCAAACATGGCCTAAACCAATTTGTCAACCCAAGATATAAGCTAGTACCAAGCAACGGTTTAATTAAAATTCTTAAGCAGTTAGATGAGATCCAGTCTTAAACATATTTCTTATCTCTAACACACCCTCTCACGCAAAAGCCTATTAAACTTGAAGTGTGGACAAGAATATATAGTCTCAGTCATATCTTATACTGAAATTTAATTAATTATAATGGGGATGCATGGTGGTAATGGAATCTAGACAATCTGGTCAAATAGGCTCTAATATACCATGCCAAGTCTTTTTATGTTGAAGGATTCATTGAAACAAGGATCATTGGATTAGACATAAGCTATATTAGGATTGAAAATGTCAAACATGTATGATCGGACCAGATTATATAGGTTTGATGTTCATATGCAAGCATTGAAGTCTAAGAAGAATGTTACATACCTACCGACCCACAAGACATGAGCTTACATTTCCTACTACCCCCGATCCATGATAGAGACTCCTCAATAAAATGCGAATGCACTAGTATTTGAAACAAATTCAAGGCATCACATCGGCTGATCTTTTATTTCAAGCACTGGTGTATTTGCATTTCACCGGAAGTTGCATGTCAGTTAAATATGACACAATCACATGAAATGTTTTATCACAGGACACAATAGGTATTGGAAACATCTCCCATGAATGAGAATACAGCTGTTTGCAGTTCTCTTAAGGTTCAGCTTGCAAAGAGTGCAAATATAAATATGTATAGTTCAAATACATATAAAATAATACAAAATATTAGGTTTTGCACTCTACATATTTGTATTTGTATTCCTTCCAAAATAGCTTAAGGCTGCGTTTGGAATCGATGCAAATGGAGTGTAAATCCCGATTCAAAGGTAAATTTGCACTCTGGTTCACTTTTGCTTGGCAACATTACATTTATGCATTGATAAATGAAAGATCAATGCATATTTACATTGATAATAAGATGTAAAAGTACATCAATAAAAAATGTGTAAATTTGCATTCAAGTGGGCTTTTGATTAAAAAAAATGTATATGCTTTATTAAAATTTATGTTTGCATTTACAGCTAAAAGTTTATTTGGTAAGATGATAAATTTGTCAGTGCAATGTTAACCTAATTTTGCAATTTATATGAACAGTTTTACACTCTACATGTTTACATTCACACTTATTTGTGTCTTTTCCAAATGCAATCTAAAAAACCTAATTATAGTCAATAGTAATAGACTAATACCACGTAGCAAGAAGAAACAATTGACTTGTATATCCCGTTTACTCTGATGAAAGTTAAAATAAAGATGACTCCAAAAAAGGTGTAAAATTAAACCAATTTGGCATATTCATCTTTCCAAGCCCGTGAACCAATGAACCTCTCAGGGTTATCTGCTAGACTTTTTCGTCTTGCATCAATGGAAACTCAATCCACTCAGGAAGAGATGGTTTTTTTTTTTTTTTTCTCTATAGAGCATCAGGATGAAAATGTTTTCCCTTTATTGAACTATATATATAGCCTTCTGCCAACCTCCTACGTACCCACACTCTATCGAAACTTGAACTCCATTGCAGTCAACTAATTACGAGCTTTACAAACAGGTTTTTCTTTTCAAATTATGCATTGGGAAATATAGCATTAATTTGTCAGCTCCATCCTGTGTGCCAAGTGTTGGACGTTTTCGATCACTACCTTAACTAACATTGCGGATTCTAATGTAAGTTCTGTTTGTCCTAATTAATTTATTTATGTGTGAGTGTGAGAGAGAGAGATTACACTTTACAGTAAGAATGTGGGGAGGGTGGGGAAAACCGGCCAGGGCCTTCACACAGCAGTTTTACAAAGTTCAAACCGAAGACATTGATGAAACTTTCTGCGAGAATATTCTGGGACCCATGATACCACTTTAAGTAGTATACTATCCGTCCGATTGCTGATAAGATGTAATGTGGGACATGATATATAATTTATTCGGAAAGTACACTTTACTGTAAATACTAACAATCCAATACTATTATTTATTTGATGAATAATCTAAGTGGAGAAATTTTAATAAATTAATAACTAACGGCCAACAACTTTTGTATTATATTGTACAAACTACAAATTAAAGTCTCGATTTGTTTAATTTAATGGATTAAGAAAGAGAAGAAGAAGTAGAAGTAGAAGATGAAGAAAACCATCAGAAGATTGACATCTGATCCTTTGAAAGCACTATCCTCGAGCCCTCAAAAGAGAAATGTTTAGGTCCCCATATCTTTTGCATCTAGGTAAGAAGCAATATCGAGATTGATAGATAGAGAGGGCTTTTGTCTTGTTATGTAACTTTTAGATTATCTTTTCTGTCTTGTTATGTAACACTAGATTAATTTTATTTCTTAATTACATATTTTCTTCTTCATTTACTCCCATCCACCGCCTTCTCAGTTGTCACCAATCTCCACAAGGAACCGACGAAGGTTAAATGTATTAAACCCAGGCTGAATATATTTTTTAGCTTACAGGTTCGATCTATTCATGAATTAATTGCATCAGATATAGCATCTATTCAAACATGCATGGTTGAATGGATCTATAATCCTAGCCCTAAGTTAAGCCAGTCCTAGGCGCTAGCTGACCCGACTCTAACCATGGCAAAGTTAAGTGGGTCATCAGGGTTTTAATTTATTGAAAATATGTATTGATTTTATCACTTCACCAGAAAACAGGTTTTTCTATACATGTAAAAAAGCTAAAGAATCCAACTAAAAAATATACAAGAGCTAAAGAAAAGGAATGTTCTATAATACATGGTGAAATTTATTAAGAAACTAATTAGGGAGGGGAAAAATCTTATATTTATTTGTTTATATATATATATAGATTATTATGGTCTCAACAGAACCAAGTTAGAAAAAGTAACAGAGAACTAAACGCTAGAGCCACGAGCCGCAGTCACCACCATGATCTGTTAAAACACAAAAGGGAAAAAAATTTATTACAGGGTATTTAGGTTAAAACGTACAATTTAGGGTGTGAAGACCTTGTTTAATACTTGCCTTTCGTGTCATATATATAGAGCTAGCCATGGCTACTGCGAGTCTTGGACATAGCATATTCCCAAATATAAAGGATTATCTCCGTTCAATATATAGTAAAATAAATAAATGACAAATGAAACTCATTATGGAGTGTTTTAGTGATTAATAAAATAAACTTAGGGTTCTATATATAACCGTCAGCTACAAGACGTAGCCAAATGGCGCTATATGCACTCACGTTTCCCATCACCATGAAAAGAAATAAATTAAACCCAAAAAGCTGGAGATGAATGAAAATTCATGAGAGAAGAAATCCCTTAAGTTTGACTTAGGAAATGCTTCCGCCTTAAACAAATCAAGAGGAATCTTTTTAAGTCAGGTGATGTTGTCCTTGTTTTACTACTTCTAAAACAATAATACATTGAATATTCGACAAATAAATGTGAGAAGGTTTGGATTCAAGAAAATAGTTAAGTGGTGAAATATTTGGTATTACGATAACCAATAACTATTACCTTGCTGTCTGTATTCTTCTCATGAACAGACTTCTTTGCACTGTCTCCCACGTGAACACTAAACAAGGGATTTAGCAACTTAACCGAGATATTAACTAAAAGAACTCACAGTCAGTACTGGAGATGTTATGAGAGCCCACCGACCCTCCCACGCATTAATCTGCTGGAACAACGTACACTGTTTAATTTGCTTAGCAACCAACTCGAATAACCCACTTCTCTCTACGTCTCACATGCTAGGGTTGACCTTTGCATATGGCAACCCTTGTTTTCATTAGCAAACCATACCCCAGTCCACCTCTATTATTAATAATAACGCTATTACTGCACAACTCTCTCTCTCTCTCTCTCTCTCTCTCTCTCTCTCTCTCTGAGTCCAGTAAGCAAGTTCAGTAATTAATGGGTGTCCAAGAATGAAAGCAGAATAAAGACGACATTAATTGCACCATTTCATTAGGGAAACTATAATCAAGTCCAAAGAGACTCTCTCTTGAGAGGGTCTTGAATTACATTGCTTGTAGAGGCAAAGTTAAGATACTGCGGAAGGTTGTTGAGGTTACTGTGAAGAAGAAGTGATTTGTCATCGGAGTCGATCTGGTGAGTAGGTAAAGCAGGCTCTTGTTGCATCTGGATGCAAAGGATCTCTGCTTGAGCCACTGCGAGCTGCATCTGCAATTGAGAGACTTGGTTCTGTAAGTAGGAGATTGCCCCAACGCATCCATAAACAGGATCTCGCACTCTCGCATTCGCTTCATATACCAGGCTGCTCACTGCATCCGCTCTTTGATGAATTGGAAGCTCCTGTGGATTAAATAGTAGTGAAACATAAGGACCCAACATCAAAATTGCAACAACAATTAATTCCCTGTTAGCTTCTCCAACATAAAACAAAGTTCTACAGGCCTTATGTAAAATGGGTCTATGCCCAAGTCAAACAGAAGCAGAAATTTAAAGACTGTAAGATATATACGTGAAACAAAGCAAAACTATGTTATGATTTTAAAGCACAGTCCTGAACAAACTTCGGACATTCAAGACTTGCAGAGAGAGAGAGAGAGAGAGAGACCTGTAGCATTTTGCTAACGTTGCTAGCGCCAAAGACCTTGTGAACAATGGCGAACTTATGGGGGTCATCGGAAGGGAAGTAGGGGGCAAAGATGCAGTCCTTGGCACAGCGACGTCTCAACAACTTGCAGGAAGCGCAAGGCGAATTTCCTCCCATCTCTTGTGTGTAGTGAATAAGGAAGAGAGAGAGAGAGAGAGAGAGAGAGAGAGAGAGAGAGTTTGGTGAAGGAAGGAAAGGAGGAAGTGGTGGGAGGATAAGTGAGTTAGCTTGTTTTGTCTATACTAACCACTTGGAACAAACAAGCAAATGAGACTTTGCAGTGAGGACTGGAAGGAGTACTTGGGGCCTATTTATAACAATTATAGATCCTGTGAGCTATTAACGAGTCAAGTAGTTCGAAGCATGAACATACTAATTATTTGTCATTATTTTATTTACTATATTATGAATGATCAATGATCATCATCATCATCACCATCATCAACATCAACGACATATAGGAGTGAGTACTTGATATATCCTTGAGACAATCCAAGCAAAGTAACGAGGCCTTGAGTTTATTTTACGATTCTAGCCTTGAAATATATGTTATTATATCTCAGGGGTATCTGGTGATTTGAGAAAGATAAGATTTTTTTATTGAGTTTTTTAAACACGTCATCGTGCATGGTGAAAAAAAAAAATTGCTGGGGTGAGGGTTGACCGCCGCCGAGGCGCGTGAAAGTTTGGCAATCCATCGCCGGCCATGCATTTTGTTTGCAATCCACGTTCGAGAGAGAGAGTAATTAGGGTTAGGGTCATAGAGACAATAATAGATTTGGAAAGGATGCAAAACCCTAAGCGCGCAGGACCAGGAGGCCAGGAGGGAGATCGAGATTAAGAGAAGGGCTCGACGTGAATGTTTGTTGACAGACATTCACGTGAAGATAGATACACAATTAAGACAGCGATTGTTAATTAACACAATACATAGATACAAGAAATAATAATAATAATGACTCCTTAATTATATCCTTCCTATTTATTTATAAGATTCTTGTGGATATGCTCTGTTCTGGTAGGAGTTTTGCTGAATCAAATTATCTCTTTTAAGACTAATACAAGCAAGAGAAGACATAAGAGAATATTGATGGCATATAAAGTCATTAACCCATCTTATTTTATCATTTACAGTTGCTGAGACAATATCCAGCTCAGGGTGGCCAAAGGTTGTAGGCTGCAGCTGCTGCTTAGACCAGGTCATAGTGGACTGGATTGGAAATTGGGAGTAGCAAAGCCAATCCAACCTCATGAAAATGGGTGGACCCAGGAGGATTAACAGACTGGGTCTTGTAGATATTTGACATGTTGGGTTGTTATGGGCTTTGATCTGATGTTCAGTCCAGCATGGTCCCTGAGATCCCTAGTCAGTAGTGATAATTAGCCAACTCCATGTACAGTAGTAGGTGCTGCTCCTACTGATTCCTATCTAAATGTTAGCTGGCTTGAATTGAACCTTGGACAGACACAAAAGATGGAATTGCCCTTTCAATTACGCCAATTAATTTAAAGGGCAAAAATGAGAATCTATTAGAATACCGATACCCATAATTGTGCTTGCTATATATTATAATAAATAACAATGTAGATCTTAAGGCCGGCAGGAACCTAATTTAACTAAATTTTCTTCTCCATCTCCGTTAGCTGTGGTACGGATGCAAGGCACAAACACGTATGTAGAGCGGTCGTATGGGCACATGGATGCATGTAGTTGTACACACACACTCATCCAGACCGAAACTAGCCAATTAAGCAAAAAAATCAATAAAACTTTTCTCTCTTTATTCCATCGTTTATGGTGGATAAGCATGACTGAACAACATAAAACACACAGAGAAAAATAAATAAATAAATAAAACGTAATATATACGACTACCAACTTAAATAGATATTCTTTCTTTCCCCTTCTATCATTCCTTTGGTAGATAAGCCTGGACCGACCCCGTGAGTGTAGTATTCTTTCTAGATTCATCGAGAATCAGGATGTCACGAGCAATTCTTTCTTTTTTTTTTTTTTTGGATATTTGGGATTTTTTGTTTCAGTGGGGTAAGGCAGATGATGATAAAATTCAATTTATATATTTAGTAGGAATTTTTGTGTACAGCAATTATTTTGAGAAACCAAATATGTTAATTAGTACTGTTCAACTAAAATGGATGTTTAATTTTTTTGGAAAAATAATTCATATATTGATTCAGTCATTCAGACACGTTTCAAGAATCAAGACTGAAACAGATAACCATGTGGCATCGGCAACTACTCCACAGTGTTTCTACCTCGTTGATTGATTAAATAAAAGAATTAATTGTGAAAAAGAATAATTGGAGCTAAACCCATCGACCATTTTATAATACTTATCTAAAAAAACACCAACAGAGTCATTAATGAGATTCTGAGAACCATCTCCTTAATGAGATCCGACATCCAATTAAGGTCTAAGAATTATTAAAGGCAAACCGATTCCCAGAGAGATTGAAAAAGAAATTATTTAGGATTGTCTGAAACCCAACCCAAGTCCTATTCCCACTCTGCTACTGCATTTAATGCACTCCACATGATTCTAAGTTTCACATCTTCTGTCCCAAGAAAAACAGCTCTTCTTTCCTGGTTGTCATGGTCGTGTACAGTCACACTGGTCTTATAAGCCAATTTGTTTGTTGCTTATATTAGACCATATTTAAAAAAAAAAAAAAAAACCATGATCGAGTTGTTGTTGAATTAATTTAAGAGCATTAGACGCGTACTTTCAAGCTTCCAGTCTCAACCCTCTAAAGAGGTGAGAACCTTGTTGCTGTTTTTACAAATATTTTTTAGAAAATAAAAAACAGGAAAGAAACAGACATCTTCTCCATGTTAGAAGAAAATAAAAAAACATGAGAGCTTCGATGCAGCATTTAATGCGCATTGTGGTGAGGAAGATTCGTTTTCGAGATGCATGGCCAAAACGATGCATGGTGGATGAACACTTGCAACAGTTAGTGAGTGAGTGGTTATTGGCATTGGCTCGCTACCTACTGGAAATGGAAATTCATATGCTGTTGAAATGGATGAATCAGAACCTGACCATGCAACAATATTAGAGCAACACACCAGGCACCAGCTCAGAACTGTGTCTTGGCACGTACGAGAGAGGCATCATGTGCACATGTATATATCTTTCTGTTGACGTGCACCCAGCTGTAGACCTTGGTCGTGACACGTGCGCCTATCAGTATAGAACCATGTGCATGCCTATGTGGTATGTGCCCACCACCTTGGCTGTCATTAAATGTATTATGTCTACATGCGCCATCTTCTTCTAATCCAACCTTTTCTGTTCAAAAGCCAATTGGACCAGATTAGATCCAATCCAATCCAGTCTAATGTAGGTACATTAAAGGTGGACCAGGTCTAATGCAATCTAATGAATATTTAGGACCATTCGGATCAGTCCAATTCAATGTTTGGATTGTATTTTTATTTAGATTGGTTCTAAATCAAAACTGGCCATTAATACATGTATTCTTATCTTTTAATAATGGACCGTATATTGGTTCAATCCAATATAAATTTCTTACTGATGGGCCTGGTCCAATCCAATCTAATTATTGGACCATTAAAACTGGGCTGGTCTAATTCATTATGTCTAATTGATCCATCCAATTTAATTTTGATTTGAATGGGTCAACCCAAAACCAATCCATTGACACCCCTTGGCATGGCTCACATCCACCACCCGAGCTCTGCCCAGCCCCTGTTCACATGGAAAATATTAAGGCCCTGTATTGTTTGCATGAATAGGGGTATGGAATCGGAATCTGCAGAATGGGCTATAACAATTTCAACAGTTTGGTTGGGCAGAAAAAGAATTTCATTCTCATTCTTGCTGGAATGGTATTCTCCCATTTGAGGAAATGGCCATTCCCTGCCCCTCCCTTAAGAATGAAATTTCATTAATTCCTGCTGATTTCAATTCCCATTCACATTCCTGTCTGAACCAAACAGATTATGATTCCAATTTCGATTCCTAAGGATTTTGACTGCAAATCAAACAGACCGTAAGAGTTATAATTTGAGTTTTTAATATCCATCCTATTGAAACGAAAAAAATAAATATATATTGAACAATCCATACACACGATACTCAATATTTTTTTGGGTATTGTGCATCTTGATATTTTGATCCTTGACTTTGGCAGACGAAAGCACAAATGATGGTGAGCCAAATAGTACATGCTGATCTGGCAAATAAAAGCACAAACGATTTCTAATGGGAGGCATTTGGCCAATGTGAATGCTTTTGTTTTCTAAAGAAAAAACAACCCTGAAATATGTAATATCAAAATGGGGTTTCATTGATTTGTCACCATAGTTTCAAACACCATTTACAACTTTGGTTTTTGATTAATTCAAATTCGGGCCGGTGCACGATCACATGGTTTAGATTCCGTAACATTTACACAGGATTCATGATTCAAGGGAAAAATGAGAATCATCTCTGCTCATCATCAAGTACTGAATCTTAATTTCTCTATCTATATTTTTTTCATAACAATATCAATTAATGTCTGTCTTGCATTAATTGACTCCTTAGGTTTCTCGCTAGAAGCATCCCTTGAATTATCAGCTCTACAGTATTTGCACGAGCTATTGTCTACTTTTAGCTGTTTACATCTTGTGTTTGCTATCCTTAGTCATCCAATTCTGGATGGAGAATGAAAGGATGCCAGACCTAACTGACCTAGATTCCAGACCCAACCCACTTATCAAGCCACTCACTTTTTTATATTCAACTTAAATTCTGGTCTATAATTCTTTTACATTAGGCCTACTAGCTTCAACTTGGTTGTACTGGGGTTAAGCGTTTTCTTTTTTTTCTTTTTTTTTTTTCTTGCACCCATTCTGGATCTGCTATTTATAAATTGTTCTCACATTCCTATCATATATAGCACCACCATTACGTTAGGAATATTTCCGTACTTGTATGACTTAATTCATAGAAAATATTCCCTATACAATGTTGCAAGGGGCTGCTGGAATGGTGCGAGCAACAATAATATATAGCTGATATTTACTATTCCATCTCCCACGTTAATGAGTTTAGGGCATTCATAACTTGCCAGCTGTCCCATTTTTGAAGGATTGGGACCAGCCACTGGGTGAGTCTCATCTAGAGGATTAAGTAGGCCAAAAATCCGCTTAGGATATAGTCCCAGCTATTGATGCTTGTTGCTGCCGAAGTGTCAAATATTCTGACAACGGAGAAAGGTTCCGTTAGAATTATTGCAAAGAAAAGCTTAAAACACGCTAAATATATCAAATGGTTGTTGGAACTCATATTATCATATTGTTTATATATGGTGCAAACTGTGGATGCATGGTTGGTCCTCTTCTTCTGAACAAACTGTATAGAAGAGTTGGCCAGACTGCAATCTGCAAAGCGTGCTTGCCCTCTTCTAATAAAAATAACTCACAGAGAATGGGAAAGAGAAAGACCACTTTCGAGAGGGATACCCCATCTAAGGTTGCCTCTTCCAGGGGCAAGTTCCTTCGGCAAACAAATGTCATTTGACACATTTGTCTGTATATTTTGATACTGTTTTATAAAGCTTCGTTTGGATGAGTTTTTGTTTTTGAGCTTTGGGTGTAAAAATAAAAGTAAAACAAAGAGCTTTTTTGAGTGTTGAGTACAAATACAAATATGTTCAATACAGATACATATAAAATAACACAAAACACAAGGTTTTACATTTTACATTATTTGTATTGTACTCATTCCAAACTCAGCCTTCGTGAGATTTGTTATTACAAAGATTATAAATCTAAAGAACGCTTTCACGTCCCAGAGCACACGTCCTAAAATTGAGACTTTATGGTTTTGGGTTTGAATTCCAAAAACATAAATCTAATCCTGAAGTTCATCCAAAATGAACATGAAAAAAATATCCTATAATCACCTCATATTTCTATTACATAAAACTATAGCTTCAATGATAAGGTTGTCTTTTATTCTCCCATAAAAATGATAAAGTTATCTTCATGCCATCGGACCGGACTGGATGGTCAGACCGGTTGACCTGAGAATTTGGCAAATAGCCAGTTTCATTTCACCCTAAAACTACTTTTTGACCAAAAACCGTTGATTTGGTCAGCAATCCACTGACTTGTGTGGTCGAACAATCGATCCCAACAATGGCTTTTGACTTTTTTATTTTATTTTATTTATTTTTTAAGTCAGAATGGGTCGTTCATTTGAGCCGAACGATCAGACCATTCAACCTGGGAACCAATTCCCAAAACGATTCTATGTCCAATCCGATTTTTAAAACCTTGCTTCACACTCACCTAATTGTTAGGTGAGGTCTTTGAATAGACTTTTATCCTCTAACACACCCCTCATGTGATAGACCATTAGGCCTGAAGCATGGACAATCACAATCCCACTCCCCCTCATACATTGTGCTAAAATTTAATTAATTATAATGGGGACAACAAAAATCGAACACTAGACCACTTGGTCAAACAGGTTACGATGCCGTATTAAAGAACCATTTAACCTAAAATCTTAAACTGTTAACTGGTTTGTTTTAGTGTTGATGTGGAATCAAATCCCACAACCAGCACTTTGGGAAAAAGGGGGGTCAATGGTAGTTATCAATGATGCATGGCACCAAATAGCAAAAAAATAAAAAGCTGTTAGGTGAGGTCCCCCAATAGATTTTTATTCTCCAACACAAACACATATAATATATTATCTTAAACTCTTAAGAAAAAAAAAGTCAAAATGATGTATAAAAAACTACAACATGTTCATGATTTTACTTTAAGAAGAAATTATCATTAGAAGATCTTTACAAACACAAAGAACCACCTTTAGTTGGGAAATTTGTTTTCCCTTGATATTAACTCTTATTTATATCATGTTCACATTCTATATTTGTATTGTTAACATTGTTCATGTTCTTTCTTCTTCGAGGAGATTCTAGTTTGGATGTACAATGGTTATATCATTAACATTTTAAGTATAAAATGTTTTCACAATTAAGGAATGGCAACAGGGTAGGTACAGGGAGGGTTTTGTAAATTGTAAACTCTACCCACCTCCCTAAACTGACCAACCTTTAGCCCCCCCCCCCCCAAGGTTCAAAGTATCAACACATATTGGCCCGCATCGACTGATACATATCCTGTCGGTGGCTTCTCGATATGCCCCTACAGGGGTTGTATCGGATTAGCCACAAGTTCAGAGGGTAATTGGGCCTTAAACCGGCCCCTCTGAATCAATTTCGAAAAAAGTAAGTAAAACATAAAAAAAAGCATTAGCACAGCTGATACGCCAAGCGTATCAGCCCATGTCAATATTTAGAACCTTTGACCCGCCCCAAAATTCGTAACAGGTTGGATTTTGAGAATCCAGACCCTCCCCGCACTCAAGGGTAGAGGTGGGTTGGGTTTAGAACTTGCATGTAATTTCCTATTATTCCTTGTCATATATAAGCAATAAATAAGTATAATAACACCAATAAACAACAAAATTTTCAATTATTTTATTAAACCATGTAGAAAAACACAAACTATCAATTACCCTTCACATAAAATTCAACACCTAGTGCATAAAATTTACATGCTTTCCAACAATATACAGATCAGGGAAGGTTGGATTTAACCAAATATCAGGGAATGTTGGATTTAACCAAATACCAAACCCTATCCGTACTGATAGGGATTGTAGAATCCCAAACCAACTCCTACCCCAAAACTTGTCCTTACACCTAATATGAAGGACAGTAATTGGGAGATCAAGGCTGTTTTGGGAGCCTATACACATAACACCTTAATCAATTTAAGTCTTCATTTATCTTTTCAACTAAAAAGGTATTGAGTGTAAATACTATTTCCCCCAATCATTATGAGATGCTATGCACCGCAGGCTTATAAAACAGCTCAGGTTGTTTTTTACAAACAGCCGAAGTTTTTCCGGTAATTGAAGAAAGTAACCAATGCTTAAGTGCTGTAACGTTTGACTTCCGGAGGTAGGCAGCACAAAGACGGGCTTGATAGACATATTATGATAAAAGGGGCGAATGAAACTTATAGTTTTTGTGCCTTTCAAACCCATATAATGCTGAGACACACCACTTAAAGGCAACACACCCTATAAACCATGTTTAATCAGAAACGAAGAGAACCCAAAAAAATTAACCGTAAAACCTTTTGGTTGTTGAGAACGTTCTTGAGCATGACACGTCAGTCCATCAATCCACTGCTTATCTTTTTGTTCAAAAGAATTGAGGGCAATTAATCTTCCACCCATGGTAACGTGTCTTACAGAAAAATGTTCCCAAAAGCCTAGGCGGTTGAACCCCAACAGCGAAACTTTTTCCGTGTAGTTATTGGTCAAAAAAAAAACTGAAAACAAATTTCAATAGGAAAATCTATGATGCGTTGCGGAAAATATATGGTATAGGAAAAGCTTTGGCCAACCTAAATCCACCCATGAATTTTGATAAAGAACACCTGATTAGCTACCACATTTATGATTCCATTTAATTGGACAGAAGTTCTTCAGATATCATATCTTTTCCCATATCATAGTGGATCCCAACTTCAATGATAGCCATATCTAGCAAAACAGAATAATCCCATTGAATTGCATCCATAGCTCCACAGAGTACAATAGATTATTATCAAATCAAAAGTTGAGGCGGCATTATTTTCATATGATGTTAAGGATTGCGATTCCATCCTTAGTGGCTGGATTTGTTTCACATTCCAGTTGTTCTCGAAATGGCAGCTGACCGGAACATTTCCACCGTACCATATGGCAGCACAAGTTATTAAATTGCCACGAACCCGAGGGTGGCTTCATTGGAGCATTACAACTTGAAACAGACATGAAAAATTTTCACTCGCGGAAGATCGAATTAAATCATTCAGAGTAAATGATTTAAACTCAGGTCGACGAAAGATCGTCATCATCATCAATCATCAACATAATCATGTTTATCCATACACCCAACCGCCAGGTAATTTCTAGCAAAGTTTACTGGCCATGTAACATCATATAAAATATTCCGCACACTCCCGGTTTGACGCTGGAGATACTCGTACAAATCGACAATGACAACGGGGGGGAGGGTTGTAAACTGAAACTTCAGAGATGCAATAAAACCGACCTTTCGTGCATAAAAAAATAGTAGTGTGTGTCAACATAATCGTCTACAAAATTGAGACTTCCAAGACCAGTAGACACCTAAACCTACGTAGTAAATATCTTTGTTCCCTCCTAAAATAGTAAATACACCGCAAGCCAGTATCAAATGGATTAATAGCGCTCACAAATCACAATAAGCCATTGCAACTGGCATGACAACCGAAAATGAAGACTTCTGGGTGGCCAAAACTGACGTTCAAAGTCGGTAACACTTCAACAGTCCAACATTTGAATTTGAGCATGCAACGCACTGCTGTTGACCGAGGTCAAAAGGAACCGAGCTCCATCCCAGAGGGCAAGTCCCCCCTAGTCCCCTGAATCATACATAATCCAGATGATCTCCTTTTATCCAAGGCCATGTAGCAATGACATGTTGGAGGGAGGAAAGCCAATCTAGTTGACAGGATGTTGCTTAGGGTACGTACCAAAAGGACACGGTGAATCTTGAATAGATCCAAGTTCCAACAAACATTTTGATGGAAAGTGGAAAAAGGAACCGTGGAACTTGCCCTTGACACCTGCCTAATAATCAACCATATCGCGAATTTGGGAAATGACAGCATCTATTTCACTAGTTGAGATATTTTTCAGGGCGCATGAATAATCTTTTTCCTTCAAGTTTTAGGAAAGCTATGGAGGAACAACTAACACCTTAGCCTCAGGAGTAAACTGAGACGGAACAAATGCCGTTGAGAAGCCAGGTCTCCAATCAACTGACCTAACAATTGAATTAGGATACATGGCACTGGCATGCAGGCTTAAAAAGAATATAGCTTTGGGTGAAAAAATCCTGCTTGGGATGCAATCACAATCATCTATTCAATGCTACATAATTCAAGTACAGAAACATGCATGCAAAGCCATGCAATGCACCCATCTTTCAAATTGATGCCCAAGCATAACGACAAAATTTTGAAAGAGTAGCACTCACCTGAAAATCTCAACCTACCTTAGCAGCAATTTGGAGATTATCCACTTGCCTCTAAAAAAACATTCACATGGTTTAAATTAATCCCCATCTTAAAGAAACAAGACCCCTTGAACCTGTAGAAATAAGATAAATGATAGAAGGAGAAGGTTAGGTTTTGCCCAAGAAAGCGAACAACCTACCTCTTAGTCTCCTACTCTCCTGTATGAAAACAAACCCGCGAACAGGAATAGATTTAGAATTCCCTCATCACATTTCTTAGTACAATAAAGCAGAGCCAATGTTCAATCAATATGGACGTGAGCGCTGCCCACCATGATAATGCCTATCTGGACCAGAACCTCCACCATCCCTGCGTCTGTCCCCACCATTGCCATATCCACCTCTACCACCACCACTGTTCCTGACAAAAAGCTTTTATTAACATGTGGTTCCTCAAACTGGCAACAGCCTAGAAGCTTTTGACTTCTGAATGATGCAAAGGCATAAGCAGCAATTGTATTTTAATATCTAATCAAAACAATCTCATTACACAATCAGCAATTGTATTTTACCAATAAACGTTTCAAAGTTACAATCTGATTACACAACATGAACTTTCCTGAATAGGAAATTGGTTCATCCCATGAAAATATCTAATCAAAACAAATATGAAATGGAAAAGAACAGACAAGCAATATTAAAAAAATCTTGACAAACTAGCAGAAAGCTTGCCAAACTGCATAGGAATCATGTAATTCATCTGGCTCACTACAGAAGTTAAAAATGTCTTAAACACTCAACCCCCACCACAGGGGAAAAGAAACCATAAATTCTCCAAGGCCCTAAATTAGCAAGTTCCAGACAATAGAGACACACAAAACATCAAAAGAGTTGTAATTTTTTTACCATTAGTGACCACAGAGTGTTTACAAGAATAGATTTTGTATTTCCTTCTGTATATGAGTAGCCCGTTTTGATGGCTGTTCCTCACATAATATGGAACCAACAGGAAAAAGAAATCTTGAGGGAATTAGCAAGTGCAATTATGCTATTTTTTAAGGGCCACAAAGGATTTGGGACCACATCTTTGAGGGGAGATTAAAATCCAAACATTGGTCAATAACAACAATACTTTAGCATTTAAAGATTTAAATAATGATAATTATCAAGACAAAAGATTTAAATAATGATTTTCAGTAATTGACTCGTTAAGTGGCTTGGAGAAACAAGAGGACCAGGTTTGTTTCTCCTCGTTTGATCAGTAATAACAGGTTACGCAATTTTATTAAATAGAAATAAGGAAAAGTACAGAATAAGAGCAAGATTCAAACTATCTAGAGCTTATCAACAACTTGATCCACACCCGCCTTCTTGAAGGCAAAACATAGCTCTAAAGAGGAGGTGCTTAGCAGGTTCAAAGGCATGTTTTGCTCTTAGCTGGCCGCTGACAGTACATAAGCCATTCCAGGGGATACCATTTTTTTATCATGGATCTCATGTTCTCATGTCAACAGGAGGGGCCATTACTTGATTAAGAAGGGTAAAACCTCTATTAATCATGAGAACATGGATTTGAGTCTGAGGGTGGCCACTGTGTGCAAAAATACCAAAGGTCAGGACCATAACCAGTTCAAACCTCCCAGGACTCCAGAAAGCTGGGAGAAACATTAGGTAATGGCCTTCAGATCATTTTGTAAACAGGAGTGTTAATCTGTCATAATTTTGTATATTGCCGGTCTACATGGGCTTATACTTTTCACTGTAATGAAACGCAATACCTTCTTTCCAAAAAAAATATTTTCTAGCTTTGGCATCTACTGCAAATAATCAAATACTTTATTCAGATGAGTGAGGAAATCAGTAAAGTCTTAGCAGAATACTGTGTATATATAGACACACACAAATACTTTATTCAGATGATCAAGGAAATAAGAAAACTACCTAGCAGAATACTGTGTATATATAGATAGATACACACATAAACACTTTAATTCGGTTGAGCGAGGAAATCAGAAAACTATCTAGCAGAATACTGTGTATATATAGACACATACACAAATTATTTATTCAGATGAGCAAGGAAATCAGCAATGAAAAGAGGAAATATAAATGGTTAACCAGGGACATGGAAATTCAATGTAATTGGATAAAGAGAAGTGCAAATGCATTGGCTGATGGTCTAGCTAGGCAAGGGGTAAATAGAGACACATTATTCTGGGCTGTTTTGTAATCACTACAAGATCAGAAAGTTCTTGGGTAACTGGAGTTAAGACCTTTTAGCTCCACCCCGTTGTAATCTTGTTTTTATCATTAAAAAAATTTCACTGTTACTGATAAAAAAAATCAGAAAACTATCTAGCAGAATACTGTGTATGTATATATATATATATATATAGATACACACATAAATACTTTAATTCAGATGAGCGAGGAAATCAGAAAACTATCTAGCAGAATACTGTGTATATATAGACACACAAATACTTTATTCGGATGAGCAAGGAAATCAGAAAACTATCTAGAAAAATACAGTGTATATATAAACACACACACAAACACAGTTTGTTCATTCATCCATGCTGCATCTTCTGTTTCAGCTTACCCCTCCCTTAAAGGTTAAGATCTTGCTCCTTTTGTCAAGGAAACAAAAGAATGTACCTTTTTTTATCAGCAAAAGGATGTACCTTCTTCATAATAAAATCAAAGAAAGAATGTAATTTTTTATTGAAGAGAAAAGAGTGTACTTACTACCCATCTGTTTATTTAAAAAGGCATAAAAAGGTAGTCCTTAGCTCTATATTGATTACAGTTTAATAGTGCACTATCTACATGTCCTACATAAAGAACTAGTAGGTCCATAAAAGTTCCTTTATTGGCAAGCTATTAGATTGAGGAAGGTTAAGATGTAAGTCTTTTCTTTAGTCATCAACGAAAGTCTACCACTTTTGTTATGGCCTTGCTTCCACCAACTGAAACTTGTTCAGTGAATCTAATTTTAGGTCATTAAAATGTTCTCCAACCTAAGAAGCCCAGATACAGGGAAGAGATAGTTAACTGGATAGAAACGAAACAGAAAGAATTGACACTAATACTTTGATCACCTATATAACCCTCCATCCACAAATGCTTCATATACACCCTAAATCAAGAAAACTAAATATAATCATGTTAAATACTCTGTTCTTATCCCAGAACAAGTCACAGGAAATGCCATGCCCTGCAGGAACTGCTTTTACCATCATGAAATCCTAGAAACATTCACTTGCCATCATAATAGAAATAACTTTCTAAACCACTGAACATCTCGAAAGTATCTGGAATGAAATAATTCCACTACGGCTCTCCAATGAAATTAGGAAAAGAATTTTAAAATCTAACATAGAGCCATTTAGATATAAAAGGAAGTCCATATTTCAAGATTTCAAGAAAAGATATCTATTGCTTCTTAACAACTAAAATGGTTCCAATTTCAAGTGATGATAGTAGATCAAAAAATTATTGAGAAAAATGAAATGATTTCGTTTCATATGGCACCCAAACTACACATGCACAGTCCCCTTCCTTCAATGACCTTCCTCTAAGCAATTTCATCACCAGAAAAGTATTCCCAACCCCTCATCATTTATCATTTAATACGCAAAAGTCAACAAATCACCTATCCGTCCATATGAACATTTTTGGCATCAACAGATAAATGAGAATTATATCACCCAAGTCTTAAATGATTAATCTGACCAATCAAAATATGCATTACAACCATCTTTCCTCAGACATGTTTACAAATGGAAAAAAAAATCCCATCCATCTTTTCTGATTGCTCCTGCCATGTCCAAGTATCTGATAGAAACACATCAATTCAAATTATTGTACTTCATCCTACACATGAACACTTCTACCCATCAAGATTAGGATGAGATCACCACAGAACACCTATCTGAGCTTTTTTTATAGGAACACACAAAAAGCAGGATTTCACATAATAATTATTGTACCTTATTTCATCTTAGACACAGCATAACTTTCAGCCATCAAGATTAATCTTGACAATGCTCATCTACCTTTTCTGGCCCTTAAAGTTAGTCATATCACCCCCTCAACCATGATTTCTAACATTTATCCAACACCTCCTAGTATGATGGGGTTATGATCCAAATCTTGACTGGTACTGCTAAGAAATCACTAGCTACTTGCTAGATCATCACTTCTAGAATATAGAAGTTATCTAATTTCTCAAGAATTTGAAAGGCCTAATTTGGTACTGAAATTCAATCATTGCATGACCTGTATAAGTTGCAACTTCAACAGCAATTTGCAGATCAACACATCAGATATGCACAGTGCACTTACCTGACAAATTTGTCAATGTCAGCAAGTGGAATCCGTGCAATCATGCACTTTTACATGCATGAAGACATAGTCAGGTAAAGCTCTCTTTCTGGAATATTGCAATGGAAGACAAGCCAAGTATGGCTATCATAACTGAGACTCGTTTTCTAAAAAATATAGAACCTTAAAGCTGGTTATGAGCTAGGGATTTTAATTTCCAACTAGTGTTAGAAAGCTTTGTAAAGCAAGATAAAACGGAAACCCTGATAAAGTAAGACAAAATAAATGGTTATTCAGAAGAAACCTTAGGAAAAGAGTTTATCAAGGTGAAGACCTCCAAATCATAATAAAATAAAATGAAATTTCTTTAAGCTGTGTCCTTCACCGGCATTCGAAACACTCCATAAGCTCAAGTCTAACCACTTCTGAAGCTAAATGGAGGATCTAAACCATTACCCATAAAAGAAAGTGGATTGAAATCATTAACCATAAAAAGAACTAGTGGTTAATCATGAAAGAAAGTAACCCAGTAAAACAACCATCTCAACAACAATAATTGAAAAAAAAAATAGTATGCAATATCAAAACTTATCTAACCCAAGTACACCAATTACCAAACTTCATTAAGCAAATGAAAGAGAATTTTCAGTACAATCGCCTAGTAGTATCCATTGCACTTGCACGAAGACCCACAGTTCGAAAAATGCACATAACTGTGGCATTCCTGTCCATGCATCATGCTAAGTTAACAGGGGCATTCCATCTAGTTCTAAAATGATGAAACCTATTTTGTTTGTTCAGCCACATTTTCAGTGGTTTTGGAACCAACAAACCATGGTTACAGAAAATGTGTTATCACCCAGATATGTTTCACTGATGCAAACATGATATATTTACAACAGCTTAAGCTTATAGAATTTTGATAAAAAATGACCTTGTGATCAAAAGTCATTGATAGGAGAAGTATAAAAAATTCGTATTCACATGTTTGATCAAAAAATAAACCATGAACTGAACAACTTCTGCAGTATTGTGTGGTTTAAAATACAACCAAGAACATTTAGCAAAATGTATAGAGTAAGAATTGCATGGTTCTAAAAATGCATTGTCATTTTCTTAAGAAGTTAGTAAATTTTCTAAACCATACTAACCATTTTGAGAACCAGTAAATCAATGTTCTAAACCACATAAATCAATATTCTGAAACTTAAAATGAATCAGATGGTTTAACAATTTAAACCATCATTAATGCCTTAAACCAGAACAGGTCAACCCCCTGTCCTTTATGCTATTGCTAAGTAAAATCATCAATTATTTTTCCTACAAAATCAATTGAACAAGTTTGAAAAGCTACCCAAATGTTTTTTTTTTCTACTGCTCATTTTATCCCTCTATTTTCCAATTATATATTCACATGGGCCGATCAAGACATCAAAGCATGGACAATCAGCCTTGGCAGGTCAACAACTCAACATCTGGATTGGTCTCAAACAGTGACCATGAGTTACCCATTACATTTCAATACAAGTATAAACACTCAATAATGTATGCCTCAATAGGCTACAGAGAATGAATGTGTCCGCAGCAACTGCATATTGCAATTATTCCAGAAAAAAGCGAACATAAAGGTCAGTTTCAAATGATAACCAATTACCAGAAAACAAAAAAAAAAAAACCTGGTGACATACCAATCACAGCCTGTGCAATGTAATTAAAAAAAAAAAAAAAATTGCAACTATTCTACTGGTAGTTAGCAGTTAACACGAGAACAGCAGGATTGACATATGAAAACAAATTAGAAAGAGAATTTCAGAAAATGTGTGTGTGTGTGTGTGTGAGAGAGAGAGAGAGAGAGAGATACCCATGACCATAGGCTGGTTGAGCCCTTGGTGCAGATTTCTCTGCCATTGCAACACTGATTTTATAACCCCGCATATCATAATCTGATAAATAATGATAGAATGAGTTCCAATTATAGAATTTAATAAACACAAATTACTGATCAATAATAATAATAATAATAATAACAATAAACACAAGTGGCATTACTAAAAGGCATTCTCTAGAACATACTATTATAAAAGCCCCCTGCAGAATGGGCAGCAGAGGGATCTTCATAAGACAGAACTGCATCTCCTTTGCTGTTCCCATGGTCATCTGTGTATATCTTTATGTTCCAAGGCCATTGATCCTTATATCCTCGCTTTTGCTTGATTCTACCAACCTACAGAAAAATTGAAGCATTACCATAAATAAATCAAGTAAGCATAAATTTAATGGTCAAAGAAGAATATGTAATTGAGTAACCTAAGCACAGAAAGTAGTCAGACATGTTATTCGTTTTAATTTGCAAGTGTTATAGTTGAGGTGTTGAACTGCAGATCAGTGTTTAAAAAGGCGTGGATGGCGTACGCCTGGAGGTGCTCCCAAAATGCCCTGAGGCGTATGCCAGAGACACTGACACCTCTGAGGCATACGCCTCAGGTGCAAGAGGCGCTCGCCTCCGCTTCGACAAGACCAATGTTTTAAAAGTGCAAGGCATAAAAAAGACACAGAGGTCAATTTGAGCTTGAGGCGCAAGGTGCAAGGCGAGGCGTGCACCTTTTTGAAGCATGGCACAAAAATACAAAAAAATGCTAAGTTTTCAAAAAGAAAATCAGAAAATTAAAAAAAAGCCAAAAAAATAAAAAAAATATTAAACATAATATTAAAAAAAATATAAACTTAAATTTTAAAATAAATGTTTTAAAAAACCTATTATCTAAAATTAAAATACAAAAACATAAGACGTAAAGCATATTCAAATGAGAATTTAAAAATAAAATCAAASATATAAAACATTTTCAAGCATGTAAATCCTCTAATCTCTTTTTTTACTCAATTGCATTACTTCAAGTAGCTAATGTAATGTAAAACATATTACATCCCTGATTCTATGAGCCTCCTTTGTGCCACACCCCTCGAGGCAAGCCCAAACAAGTCCATGTTAGGTGTTCAATTCTTAGTTCCCTCACAAAAATTATGAATTTATAATTTTAATTGCTTTTTAAGAAAATATTTTATTAGGATGAATGAATGAACAACATTAGCAATTAGGGGGTTCTCAGAGCTTCGGTGAGCGAGCGAACCCAGCCGCTATGTTCAAAAAAAGCAAAAAAGCGTCAAATTTTCAAAAGGCGCACGCCTGGACTGAGGCGCAAGGTGCATCAAGTGCATGCCTAGGCGCACCAGGCGTACGCCTTTTGAAAGAGCTGCGCCTAGGACCTATACAAGGCGCATAACCTAAAATGCGATTCGCCTATGCGCTCGCCTGAGGTGTGCCTTTTAAATCACTGGACAAGACCCCCCTTTCAAGTTTCAATTAGTGTCATGCATCTTTATTCTTCTTACTATAAAAGATTTTTAATAAGAATAAAGAAAAATGAGATCCCCCTTCCTCTTCTTCTTCCTCCTCCTTCCTCCTCACTCCCCTCCTCTCAAGGAGGCTTGTGTTCAGGAGGCTTACACCTCATACGTTCTGAACCACACCTCACGCCTCACGCCTCTAGGTAGTGGAACGCCTCGTGTCACGCCTCCACGTTTTAAAACATTGCTGTGGACTATCATGATTAGGCTACTGTGAACAATTATTCCTTTGCACTACCAGTATTACATCTTTGTGGGTTATTGAGTACCAAGAAGTAGTTGAGGTAATCTGCTCAACTCAGCATAGGTACTCTCTCTAACAGGAAATACAAGAGCAACTATCAGTATTGCATAGTTGATCAGCATGGCCAAGAAAGTAATTTTCAGGTTACAAAAGGGACGAATTTTACTAATGCATAATCAAAGCTTTATTTTCTATTCATTGTTTTCTCAAGCTTTTGAACTTGGGGCATCCTCCTCATCCTCGTGCAGAAGTTTGTAGATGCCCCATTACTGCCATCCTATTTATATGATCAACTAGAAGAAACACCAAGAAGACAAAAGACATGCTAAATGTGTGAATTTTTCTTTTACTTCTGTTGTCTTCTTGTTGTAACTCAGTTGCTCTTTCAATGACATATATAATGATAGCTGATTCAATCAATGAAATAATATCTAAACAATTTCTTTGGGATTTCATTTATCCTAGACAAACCAAAACACAAATGTACATTATAGACTATTTTAATCAGGACACAAACAAATAGATCTGCATAAAACACAAAATACAAATGTAGGCTAAAATGTTGAATGGCCCTTTGTCCCAAGAAAATGAAAATGCAGAGTGCAAGAAACACAGACATACCTGGCCAATCCCCCCAAAAAGCTCTCTTAGCTCTTCAGTAGTCACATCCGGTGGCAGATTGGAGATGTAGATTCTTGAGTTGTCGCAGGAATCCCCACAATTCTCATCACATTGCTTGATCTTAGCTGGAGGTTCAGCTGGAGCACCACCATAGCCACCACCTGAGTGTCGGGGGCCACCACCATATCCACCATCATACGCACCTGGTGGACCTCCGCGACCACTTCCGCGTGTATCAACTGGGGCATCGCCACCATAACTATTTGGAGGGGCACCATAGGATGGGGGATACGAATTAGGACCACCAGTGTAGCTGGTAGGAGGAGGAACTGCCTCCGTTCCATAATTACTATTTCCACCATAAGAATTCGGTTGAGGAGGATAATTTCCACTACCACCACCATAGGATCCCGATGCAGGCGGAGCCATCTGACCATAATTACCATCTTCTCTTCCTTGACCACCAGCATAAGAGCCACCTCTTCCACCACCGTCTCTACCACCATAACCACCGTTTCTACCACCACGGTGCCCACCGTGTCCGGCTCCGCTTCCTCCTCTGTTATAACCACCGCCACTACCACCATGATCGCCTGCTCCAGTTGGAGAGGGCGCACCACATTTATTGCATTCAACTCTTCTTGCAAAGTTCAGATTCCCACAACTACAAAAAATAAGATCGAAAGTATCCAAAGTCAACACAAGTTACGGAGGGAAATGAATGGAAGGACAAATTCAAACAACCAGAACTTCAGCACATATTCCAATAACGCATAGTAAATTGCAGAGGAAAAGAACAATAAACCGGGAAAAGGAAGGATGAAAGATAGCACCTTGGGTTGGGACAGAGCCAATCTCCTTCTCTACCGCTACCGCCACGACCGCCGCCTCTGTTACCACCACCTCCACCTCTACTGCCGCGATCCCCTCCTTGGTATCCGCCACCACCGCCTGCAAGCAGAAAAGTAAATTAGATTAAAAATAAATAACAGAAATAACATAAACTCAGCGAAACCTGCGAAGAAAAAAAAAAGAGATTTAAGTACCTCGATTTTGTGAATTCCCTCCGTATCCTCCTCCTCCTCTTCCCCCTCCACCGCCACCACCACCGTAGTTTCCACCACCGCTACCACTATAGCCTCCGCCTCCGCCCCCGCCATATCCACCCCCACCGCCACCTCTACCTCCACCGCCACTCCCATAACCCCCACCACCTCCATAGCCTCCACCACCGCCACCGCTGCCTCCGTAACCCCCGTCGCCGCCGCTACCTCCATAGCCCCCGCTAGAAGCACCTGTATAGCCACTACCACCGCCAGTTCCATAGTTTCCAGCACTGCCAGATCCATAGCCTCCACCAGCACTGCCACCGCCATAGCCACCACCACCACCTCTGGGAGGTGGAGCAGATTCGTCGCCCCCAGGACCATACATCCCAGACATGTTTTAGGGTTTATTCAGGATCTTTTTCCTTTCACTTGTAAGGATGTAGACTTGAGAGAGAGAGAGGATGGGTGGGGGTTAGGGCACGAAACTGATAGTACATATACCCAATTCCAATCGGGAAGAAAGGAGAAATAAATATCAAAGCTCGAAAGTCTTGATCCCTTCACCGTGTTCCTCACGGAGCCTTCGCAAAACACACACACCTTAGCTCAAGTACCATTTCTAAGTTTTCTTTATTTTTTGCATATGCTAACATCACGGGCAAGGCAGGTCACGGTATGCTTAAATCAAAAATGGACAAGACACAGCATCCCCAGACCCTGATGTTGCACGAAATCCTTATTGAACTTCGATCTTAGGTCATTGGCCCGTCCCGATGGCATTGCCTTTACCCTTGCTTTATTTGTTTACCTTTAGTTATGAAAACTATCTAAATCCTCCGGACTTCAAAATATCTCCTAGTAACATAAAAACTTTTTTATGAATCATTTGCTTCTCTTTTGTCATTTTCTAGGGTTTTGCAAGAAAAGTAAGGGAAATTGTAATTTACCATCACTTTTTTTATGAATGCTCTTAAATTCATAATAATTTTTTAAAACGTTCAAAACTCATTATATCACTAAGCTTTTATTTCCTAAAACTCACCATCCATCAAAGTATCATTAATATTTATTTAGCAAAAATTATCTACGCCAACACAAATATAATTTTTATGACCAAAATACCCTTAAATGACAAATCAGCCTTATTAAACATAATTTTATGGGTAATCTACTGTTCATCGTCCCAAATAGCGGTGGCGATGGATTCAAGTCAACTTCATTTATGACCAAAACATCCAAGAGGAGATAATGACTAACGGGATGAGCTTTGACAATCGGTCGGCTCTGATCTCCTTCTTCGGCATCAGTGAAGCTAAGAATGTCAATTCTGTTAGTTTGAAAGAACGAAGAGAACCATTTTCTTCAATAGATACAACAACAGAAGAAACAGGCATTGCCCTAACTTCGCACCCCCTACTTCCTCTTCCTCTCTTGGAGTATGAGAGTGGCAGAGCAAACAGAAAAGTCGGAGAGAATAATTATCACGACTCCGGTTTTCTCACCCACTACAGTCGTCGGCAACAGATGCGCGTCGGCCACCAGTCCCTCGTTCTTATCTAGTCCGATCCCCCTTTTCCGTTGTGATCAGATTGCTTTGTAAAAGTTTCTGGTACGATGAGGTGTTTTGGACGTGCATGACCGTTCGACAGGATAAGCCCATCGAAGAGGAAGAAATGCAGTGTTTGAAATGTTTTTCGTCTAAAGAGGAAGCCCCATACGCACCGTTTGAGTACATCTTCCCACAGCACTCCCCCTCCAACGTCGACGTAAGCCGAGTCGCCAAACCTCACCACCTCAATCTGAGTTTCCATGGACCCCATGTCGATCACCAGCCCTTTGTTCGTCATAGCCTGGCCATTGATGGAGTGGTCGTTACCCCTTGCAGCGACCGTGAGATGGGCGAACCTGGAAGCTGCTATGATTACTCTAACTACGTCTTCTCGATAGGCTGGCATGGTGACCGCTAGCGGCTTTGCTTCAACGATACCGCCGAAATCCTTGGCAACAGCAGCGGTGCGGACGAAATCTATTGTCCCTTGTAACTCGAGGCCTCTTAATAGGCTTGCGTCGTCGTCGTCGCCTGGTCTTGTTTCAGTTTCATTTTCATGAATGAATCACTCCAAGAACGCTATCATTGTCCCCGCTGGCGGTAGAGCAAAGGGAGAAGCCATTGAAAAGGAAGAAAGCGAAGAAAGAGATAATGAAGGTTTTACCATTATCTCACTTTTGGACGTTTTGAAAATTTATGGTGAATTTAAGAGAATTCATAAAAAGTGACGGTGGGTTTTGGAGAATTACCCAAAAAATAATAATTTGTAGATGACTATCAACCCCTGATTTTTGTTCGATCCACCGCGAGAACCTACAATTTACCCCAAACATTTAATCAAACTCATCCAACCTTCCTGAAAAACCCAAAAATCCCAAATTTCACCTTGAAATCTCTTAGATCCATCGTTAAACCTGCTCGATATTGATTCGACGGCCCCGATCAACCCCACTTACACCTCAACTATTAGATCAGACACAACCATTAGACCCAGGACCCCCCAAAACACCTACCCATGAAAGATTGAACTCATGACTCCTCCGTTCACCCATCCATCAAACAAATATTCCATTTCGATACCTCTCATTAACCTAAACACTAGGAACCTGGATTCTCTTGATTTTAACACATTCAAACTGATCAAACCAAATCATTAAACTCTAGACACATCAAAACACCTACTCATAAAGTTTCGGCCATAGACTTTCCCATTTGCCCTTTCATCAGACCAAGATTCCATTTCGAAACATTTTGTTCCTACGAACTCAACCCTTCAAATACAGATCAAACCACATCATTTGATCACAGACACCCCCAAATACCCACCTATGAAATTTCAGCCCCAAATACCTTCATTTACCATCGATCACCCAAAGATTCTATTTCGAGGCTTCAGATTAATCGGATTCCAAATCTGCCAAATTGGATTAATATAACCTTACAAATCACCTCAGATTAGCTAAAAATCCTATCCCGTGAAATTTGACCCAAAACTACTTTCGTTTACCCTTCATCGACCATAGATTTCATATTGAGGTTCCAAATTAGTCGAATTAAGCCCTTTCCAGATCTGTCTGATCCAGGCCCAGTTGGGCCAATTTGACCCCACTAATCAACTCAGAATGTTCAAAAACCCCACTCTATAAAATTTCAGCCAAAAATACCCCAATTAAACCTTCCATAAAAAAAGATTCAATTTCGACCAATCCTATTAACCCCCATACAAACCCACTCTCGTGGTTAGACCCATCTCAACCCTCCAGTATATTGACCCGGACCGTCCATCATTAAACCCTGGATCCAGTTTAACCCAGCCAATTAAATTACCAAAATGCCCACATTTTTACCGAAATTACAAAATTACCCCTACCATTATAAATGCAAAACCAAAACTCTCTTTTAACCTAATCCAGAAGAGGTTAGAGAGGAAGCACTGTTCATCGTCTCTCCCTTCGAGCGACTTTGAGCGGCGAAGAAATCAGCGGCAGTAAAGTTCTTTCCCTTACCTCCGACCACACTCCGATCTCCCTTTTTCTTCTCTCTCTTCTTATTCTCCTTCTTCTCCTTCTTCTTCTTCCTCCCTCCCGTTCCTCTTTTCAGCGGCGGATTCGAACTCAACAGCGGCAGCGTACTATCATCTTCCCTGACTTCTATCACTCGCTTAATTTCTTTCTTCTCCCCCCCCTTTTTTTTTGATGATTCAAACACCTTCTCTCCCCCTATTGTCAATCCGAAAGCTCACCATCGCCACTACAATTTCTAGCATCGACGGTGAGCTCTCTCTCTCATTCTCCCTCTCTCTCTTGCTTTCTTTCTCTTTCCCCTTCCTCTTCTCCCTCATGCCGATGTTATTCCCAGATCACTAGTTCGTCCACCTCCCCCGAGTGTGAAGCTAGTTTGAACTCCCCTGTTTGAGCATTTCAGACATCAAATTTGAAGTATAGCTCAGATCAGACTTTATCAAGTCTTCAGAACTGTGCAACGTCCTCCGTTTAGGCCACATCGACTACAGCGCTCGACTTCTCCTTTTATCTGTTCCGTCCCACATCAAAGCAAATCAAAGATATCCCTTGTTCCGTGACAGTTTTCAGGCCGACATCCAATTCCAACTCAGGTAAGCTCCGTTAATCGTCTTTTCTTTTTTCTTTTTCCTTTTTTTTTTCTCCATTGTTTGCTCCCTGCCGAATCAACTTGCAGAGCAGCCGGAACTTGCTGAACTATATCACTGAACTAAGAATGTTTATGCAAATGCGACAATTCTTTTTTTTTATTTGTTTTTATCCATTATATGTCTACAATTGTATCCTATGACAAATTGTTGATTCTGTATAATTTGGTTGATAGTTAAATTCAAACGAAAATATAAGGCTGAACATTTTTCAATAGAAAAGGGGTGACAGAGTATCTTTCGTCCAAAGGGGATTGGTTTGTGAGTATGGAAGGCAACGTCTTTTAGAGCTGATGGAGTTTGTTATTTTCAGCCTGCTATTTTCTATATTATCTCTGCTTTATTTTAATTATTTATTTGCAATTATGTTTATTTTGCAATCACCATGTAGGCCCCACGTATTGGACGTGGGAGTGGGGTTGCTAATCCTTTCCCTGTACCACCCAAGTCTTACCCGAATTGATTAGCCAGTGCCTTCGAGTCACTACCTAAGCGAAAACCACTTTTGAAAATCATTCTCGGAGGTTCCATCTTATTTCATCTTATTTCAAACAAGAAAAATACTTATATAGCATATAGGTTACATTGTATTAGTGCATATTCTCAAGGCGTTAGGGTAATTTATCTTGTATTTTAGGGGTTGTGAAAAGTTAGTCTCTAAACTTTAAAACGTGTATATGTAATATTTGAACTTTCAAAATGTGTCTAATGGGCTCTTATACGGTTCATCAATTATATGTATCACATGATGACATGTGCCACTTAAAACATTTAAAAATATCAAAACTATCATTGGATGAAGACACTATTCATTGTCTTCTACCTTGAGACTAAATGGCCACACTATTACTACGACGGTGCCAGGAACAAATTCAAATGAATTGATGATGGTGTTAGGAACTGTCCAAGTTCTAACAATGTCTTAAAAGAAATAATTGGTAGAGCATATGTAACAAAGCATATAGACAATAAATTAAAAAAGATATAAGAAATTAAGATTTAATATTATACAAGAAATTTTCATCAACTACATAAAATTTAAAAAGAAACCATAACAATGTTGAAATAGTATGAAGATTACTTCTCGATAAAGGACTAGGGGTGAGCATTATTTGGTTAAAACCGAACATTTTGGTTTCGGTTTTTTTAGTTTTTAGTTAAGTCGGTTCGGTTAATTCAATTTTGTTTTGGTCTTTAGAATTAGAAATTCAGTTAACCAAATTAATTGAACTTTCTATTATTATTACGTGCATTTGCACGTGGAGATTTTAATTTACAAAAACTATTATTATTATTATTATTACTAGTTTCCTACTACTGCTACTAGTATTATTCAATTTCTAGAATAAATA